TTGCTCCTTTTTGCAATTTTTCTTAATAATTTTTTCTTACTGTTTCACATTTTCCCACAAAAGAGAAAAGGAATGATTAGTTTGGAGTATATATCTAATATGTATTTATCTACTCCAAAGTAGAGTACACTTTATTCAAATATACTTTACATATACTTTAAAGGCATATATATATATATATATATATATATATATATATATATTTGCTTTTAAAGTTAACTGTTATATTTTAAATATCCTCCTGATATGCCAAGAACCTCTAATGGGAGAGTAAAAAAATTCTGTTGAGATAATTGACATTTATTCCTTGCACAGTCATTCTTTATATAGTTACTAGCTACAGCAAAATGCAGTTTGAATTTTTATATAATTCATTTCTAAAAACAAGTTTATTTGTGCTTCTTAAAGGTTCACTTACACTGTTTCCAAGGATACCTTTGTCTTTAAAAATGTCTAGCAAGTTTTGCAGAATAACATTTTCTTAGCTGGGAGAAAGGAACATTTTAATTATTAGCAAATGATCCGTTGGGTTTCAGTTTATGAACAGTTGAATGCTTCTGCCTTAATTTGGGTCATTAACAAATGAAAATATTTGCATAACTTTACAACCACCAAATTGCACTTTAGGGCTAAAGATAACGGTGACATAAAACTGCCATAAGAATTCAATTCAGCCAGTATGTTTTGAATGCTTGCAGTACCTCAGACACCCAGGGACTCAGAGGTGGTTAAGATACAGTCCCCGCCCCCATGAATTTACAGTCTCACTGAAGAGTGCGGCACATACAAACTTAGTAAAAGGTAGACTGTGAAAAGCTCCAAGATTGGAGGTAAATGAAACTAATGCCCAGATGGCATCAGAAGAGGAGCTAATTCAGTCTAGCCAGGAGGATCCAGGGAGTTTTAGAGGGAAGGTGACATGTAAACAGGGTCTTGAGATGTCCTCTGGGCGAAAGGGTCCTTTATTCAGCTTCTTGCTTTTCAGAATGTGATGGAACGTCATCTTACGGTGGGAGGAGGAAGATGGGGGCTTTGGAGGCTAAAGTTAGCCTTCCTTATAGTAAAAAATTACCCTTGGAAAATTCCTTAAATTTCCTGTAAAGTCTTCATGTTTTTTTTGTACCCAACCTGTATAATAATTTGTATGTATGTCAAAATCTGAGAGCTGAAACCCATATACAGAAACATCCATTTCATCTTGTCTCTGAAATGTTCCTACTTTCCCATGGTTTTTACTCCATTCTGTTTTAACAGTAAAACTCTATACCCTTAATGCATGTTGATAGACATATTTGTTATTTTAAGAGTTAAAGTGGTTAGTGTGTGAAAGAACTTGAGGTCGCTAGAGTTAGGAGCTTGGTGAATGTTTGTGGATTTGAATCCAGAGGTCCAGCCTATGCCTTGTTCTTTGAAATGTTGTAAAGTAGAACTTGACCACATACTTCCTGTCCTTCTAAGATGGCATTTCCTCTTGTGGCTGCTGTGACCAGGTGTCGTTCTCATGTCCTCAGACATCGATCTCATGAATCCCTTAGAGAAACCACATCCTACTTGTTGGTTTAGGTTTGGATGCTAAATTCTGTACTGTGTGACTCCCCTTGACAGGCAGACTTCTAAAGTGTTGGTTTGTCTTCAATGAGCAGAATCGAACAAGGGCCCCTTACATTGCCTGAGAAGTTAGGTGGCAGGATTGGTGACAGTAGTATCTCCATTCCTCTAAGTCCTGAGAATTTCCTTCTTTCATAAAAAGTGGACCCACTCGAAGGTGACAGGCTAGACCAATGTCTTGCTCTCACAACTGTTTTCCTTTATCTGGGATTTCGGTATAATGCTCTGAGGTGGTGGTGAGAAAGCTGTGTGAATTTTGCTGCTGCATTTCCTATAAACATGTTGAGAACCTTGTCTAGACATTAATCAGTTCCCTTTTATGTAACTCTCTGTGTGAGAAACTTCAAAAAATTTACTTGCCTTACAGCTTGGTATGTTTTTTTGTTTTGATGATGTGAATTATGGAACTGATTATGTTTGCCTTTCTGTCTTGGCTACCTGGAAGCTCAGAGCCAATTCAGAGTTTTTTCCTTGATTGCAAAAGAAATGTAAATACATGGCTAAAGTTTTGAAAAGTATAGAAAAACTTAAAGAAGAAGATGCTCATGGCATGCACACAGGGGGATCAAGACAACTGTTTGAAGGCTGTTGTCACAATCAAGCCACAAAGAGGGAAGAGCAGTGGATTTTAAATTGCCTAAGCGCTTTGTGATGTGTTGTAGCAACACAGTAGGTGGAATTGTCATTTTAGATCACACAGCCAAAGTCCTGAATTTAAGACTAAGGTTAATTTCTTCAGATTGGAATAGCAACAGCAACAATAGTAATTACCATTAAATAGATACCTGCATATGTATTAGGCACTGTGCTATGCCATTTTTACAGTTTTACCTCTTCACTGAAATTACCTTGATTGGATTAAACCCAGATGCTGCCTTTATCTTTAATCGTTGATCAGTAGCCTTTACCTATCTGTGCTTTTTAGCTGTTGGCATCGTTGGAATAGAAAACTGGTTCACCATAGCATCATGGTGAAGAGTGTGTACACTGCATCCATACTGCCAATGCAGTGTGTGACCTTCTGCACATACGTAACCTCTCTGCCCATCAGTTTCCTCATCTGTGAAATAGGAATAATCATGTTACCTACTTCATAGGGTTGTTATAAAGATTAAATAAATTACCTCTGCAAGGTTTGGGACACAGTGAGCACTTACAGTGTTCATAAAATAAATAACCTTATAAATTCCTTCACATTACTTACAGAATGTCAGAGTATTTTGACCCAATAAATAGGATAGCAGTTCTCTCCTTAAAGTCTGTAACTTCTGTTGGCTTAATGATGATGGGGATTTGAGGAAGAATTGGGCTTTTTAGAACTTCTCGAGCCATTTCAAAAAGGTTTTCAAACTGTTGGTTATGTTGTACTTTACTAGGGCTCAGTTTGTCTGTTTAGTGCTTATGGCTTGCCTCCTCTGATTTATAGAACATTTCTAAGTTTTGATTTAACTTATTTCAAATCTATATTTATGTTACAGGCTCTTTGGTTTTTTTTCTATCCTCTTGTAACTTTTGAAAGATAGATTTAAAAACAATTCTTTTGTTTTTTCTTTTTAATTTTGTTGTTGTGGGGTTTTTTTTGTTTGGTTGTTTTGGCTGCACTGTGCTGCATGTGGGATATTAGTTCCCAGCCCAGGGATCGAACCTGTGCTCCCTGCAGTGGAAGCACGGAGTCTGAATCACGGGACTGCCAGGGAAGTCCCTCCCCAAAGATAGATTTTAGAAATCCGTAGATTGTATTATTTTGGAACACAGATTTGGTGAGTTTATATTACCCTGAAAGATTACCCAAGGTTGAGAAATTGGGTAGTTAAAAAAAATATTATAGAAACTACTAATTTTTTTTAATAGACTCATAGAACCCTTGTGACTCATTACCCAATAGTATCCACACTCAGAAAGATTCCTGATGTTTGAGTGACAGAGACTGGGGTGACCTCGGCGGGCCCTGGTGGGAAGAACGTGTGGACATAGGGCGCCATCTTGGCTCCCCCAGTGCCCCTCGGAGCCCTCTCAGCCTCAGTCACTTGACCGAGAGAGGAAGAGACTTGTACCTGTACCTTACGTGATAGTTTCTATGTTTTCCTGGATAGATACACCTGTATACCTTGTGGCACCTATTGTTAAGTGATACCTCGTTCCATTGTTTACTTCTACTTCTATTAAATACTCTTGCTAAATTCTCCCGTCTCAGTGAAACAAGCAGAATAACTAATTGGGAGAAACTCTGCAGCATCCCAGGAAGTACAGATTAATATTTAATCCCATCTTAATGTGCATTTTCCATGTAGTTTATTAATAAATCCCTTAACTTTTGTTTGTTTGTTTGTTTTGCGGTACGCCGGCCTCTCACTGCTGTGGCCTCTCCCGTTACGGAGCACAGGCTCCAGACGCGCACGGCTCACGGGTCCAGCCGCTTTGCGGCGTGTGGGATCCTCTCGGATCGGGGCACGAACTCGTGTCCCCCGCATCGGCATGTGGACTCTCAACCACTGCGCCACCAGGGAAGCCCCCTTAACACTTTTGTTTTGGTTTTTCCTGAGATGATTTAAAAGTTACTTCACTAGTACTTTGAAGAAATGATTAAAATAGCAGGCTTTTGGGGAAACACATTTTAAGTGCTATCACCATTGAACCATGGGATGGTGGCCCATCTACTTTCCTGTGCTTTTGTGTAAATCTCTATTAATTGTATGAATCTGTTATTTATGATGTCTATTAATCTTGCCTTCTCAACTTGCTCTGACACTCCCGGAAGGGAGAGACACTCTACTCTGCCTTATATTTTTACTGTCTTATATTTTTACTGTGATCCTCTCAGTACCTAGTACCAGACTCATTAACCTATTGGTACTCACATACATATTGATGGATTTAAAGTAATATTTTGTTTAATTTACTGTGACATGTGGTATCTCATGAAAATGTGTGATGACCTCATCTTTTATCTACTATAAAATAGTAGGTAAATTGAGTTTGCGTGCCGCAGGCTGTCGTGCAGGGAGAAACTCTTCACTTACATCTGCACGCATGAGGTGGCGGCTACACCTCCCTGCTTTGATCATCAGCCAAGCATTTGGTGTTTAGCCATAACACGAAGGAAAGCATCCGAAAGCTATCAGAATTCTAGGACAGCCAGATGACCTAGCTTCTCTTCAGCTCCAGATTTGAAGTAATTACGAAGGAGTCTAACTGTGACTGGTTTTCTTTTCAACACAGCACTATTTTGATTCGGGTCGATGTGGCCCACGCCGCGTGGAGCAGGCACAATGAGGCCGGTCTTTATTGAAGAGGCAGTGCACTGTGCATTGTACAGTTTGGGGTTTGTTTTCCTTTGGCCGACGAGTGGGAACCTCCCATTTTCCGAGCAGTAGTAACACCCCTGGAGGCTGGCCCTCCCACCCTAGCGGGCTCTGCAGACCCAGCCGGCAGGGCTGACCACTTGTGCCTGGGAAGTCAGCTTCCTTTCCGTCCTCAGGCCCCTGGCATGCTGGTGCCTTGCACGGCCAAGGACTCGCAGCTGTCCCAGTTGCCAGACTTTCTGACTTGCGTTTTCAGCCGAGGATGCAGGCTGATAAATTCAGGACAAGTAGTAGAAATGTCAAAAAGGAGCTGGTGATCGAGTCCCCCCTGCAGTGCAAGGATGCAGCCCAGGGAGAAGTGGAAGCAGAGAGCCCAGGGCCAGTGCTGGTAAGAGGGCCCCATCCACGGGGCTTCTGCTGTCTTCTCCACGCAGTGCTTTTATTGCGTGTGCATGCTCGGTGCCTTCTGGCTCTCTGGTTTGATTTTAAACTTGCCTTGCCTGTTTCTAGCGAACTCTCTTCTCTGTTTCCTCCTGTAGATTGACTTCAGTTCCACTTTGATTCTTCTTTGGGAGGAAAGATATGTTGACGTTTCGCGGGTGAATGTGGTTTCCAGGAGGCTTCTTTGTATAGAACAACTATGTATTGTTCATGTCTCACCTGGCTGCACTGTTGGTAAACCCAAGAGGCACATTGTAATTGCCTTTTATAGGATTGAAAAACGTCTTTTGCAAAATTAAAACATTTACATTATGTGTTTATGTGACTGTGAAAATTATGATGATGACATGGGGGGAGTGTTAAGGAACATAACTGCTGAAGTTACATGTATTCTCACTCATTTTAACAGGTTTGCCTTGAATTGAGCAAAGTAAGAAATAACCTAAGCTTTGAACCAGTTAATAGAAAAGTTTCTATTTTTAACATTAGCTAAACTCAGAGCAGTTTGGATAAATTCAAGTGCTTCGGTAGACTTTGTAAGGGAGGAATGTGGACAATGGTTTTGTTATCATCAATGAGTAGGTTGTGCTTCTCTCTCGGAATTTCTTTAGTACAATAAAGGCACATAATTTTTTAAGCAAACTGCAAAAAACCACCAACATGCCCTGTCGTGGGGACAATTGAGCCTTTCAAATGATCTGTTAAAGGGATTGTTAAACTTGTACTTAGCGATTTTATATAGTGATTTTTTTTTTTAACAACGGAGGTTCATTTGCTGTTATAAAGTGTTTAGTTAATGAACTTAATTTTCAGTTAATGTCTTTAAGAATCTGAACTTGAACTTCTCTGTAATGGATTTGATTTGAATTAAATTGCCTTTGACCTGTGAGACTGCCTTATATTGTATTGCCTTCAAAATTATGTTGCTAACCAGGAACTGAGAAAGTCAGTAAAGTGTGATGGGCTTTTTCACTGTAGGTTTTCATCTGAGAGAGTTAGGCCCCCCTCCCCGCTCCCAGCATTGTTTAGAGATGTTATTCGTTATCTTGGATTCCTTTCTGCTAGCACAATAGTTCATTTATCCATTGAGAAGCTTGAGCAGCTTTCATGCAGTAATAGAATTAACCGGTTAAAGCTCCCAGCTGATGTCGCTTATGATTTCTTGGAGGAAGTTGTGTGGTTTGGGTTCCCTTGTGAATATTCTTAAAAATCTTTTGTCAGTGATTCTCCAGATGTGTAGAAATATTTGTCCAGAGGATTAAATACACTGTAGAAAGATGCTCTGTGATTTTTTTTTTTTTTTTTTAATCACCCAAGTGACTTTTAAAAAACTTGCTTCTCTTTCTTGTGCTCAAAAAATCAGCCGCTTATGTCCCAGTTATTTGTTTAGGTCAAATCTCACTCCAGGCAGTTTCACGGGGAGTACGTTTTCCACTGTAATGGATAAGGCTGTGCTGGCTGCAGCTGCACCTGGTGGGAGTGCTTGTGGGAACCCAGAAGCTTCTGGCAGCATGGAGAGCTCTGGCCCGTGCACCTGCAGAGAGAGGTGTGAGGGAGAGGGGAAGGCAACAGTGATACAACAAGAAGCTTTTTCTTATCTGATGGTGTTTCTCTTATTCCATTGGGGTAACTAAGCAAGATAAAAAGAGCTACTACCAGATAAGAGAAGCAAGGATATTTAAGCAGAGCCTCTGCCCAGGGCAGATCTCCTTACCTGTGATTCTCACTGCTCACAACAAATGAGAATTCAGCACACTGCTCGGAATACAGCTTTTCCCCAAGATGATTTTTTAAAAGTATGCCAGCACAGCCATGAGATCTGTGTGTTGTAGTGCTGTTTGTTACTATTATGTTAGTAGCCCGTGTGCCTGTTGAGAATCCCCAAGTCTGTAATGTTTACATTGTAGGTAACTCACTTTGAAATCAAGTTTTGGCTGGTTTTAGTTATGTACACAGTCACTCCTTGGGGAAAATATTACATAGTTTAAAAGCAAAAAAGTAATTAATGCATATAATTAGAAATATGAATAGTGTAAAATAGGGAAATGTAAAGTGCCCTTACCTTTAATTTCCAGAAGTGCCCGCCATTTATTATTTGGTGTATAACTTTCTCCAGACTTTCTCCTGTGCACATACAAATATAACTTATTGTGTGTGTTTGGAAAATACATAGTACTATAAATTTCTGCATTAATTTTCTCCCAGAACACATCAAGAACATCTTCCTTTGTCACCACGTATAGATTTATGCCGTCCTTTTTAATGGCTGTGCCGTAATTTGACTCCATTTGTTTCCAATTCTTTGCCATTAGTACAGTGTATAGTCATTGAGAAATGGCTTTGTGGGCTGTGAGTGACTCACAGTGAATGTACTAGTAAACGTATCTGAAAGCACTTATGCTGGACAGAAGTGCTTTTTCTGTAAAACTTCTATCAGAAGTCAATGTTTCTTTCCCCTCTGCCAGGGCAACAGTTAAGTTTCCCTTAGCAGTGGCTACTTGTTCCATGCTAGGTAGAGTCAGTGTTTCTAAGAGAAGTATATGTTTGGACATTACAGATTTTCAGAGGCTGCAAGGTTCAACTTACAGGCACCTATGCAGGTAGGTCACGTCCCTTCCCTGTGACAATAAACAAGAGGAAGTACATGGTGAATTTTCCCCATCCCTCTCCAGGCTCACTGCCAACCCTTTAGAAAAATGACTTTGTGGGCTGTGAATGACTAACAGGGGAACAATCAGGATATTCTTGATGTCTACAAGTTAGTTACCCCACTGAATTTGAATACCTATTTTTGCCCCCCAAACTCTAACGTAATTCCTGGAAATAATTTATTCTAATTGTTACAGCTCAACAATTTAGAGGAAAAGGGTGTGGCCTCAGAGAGTCAGAACTGGCTGGGGTATATGTCCTGTGTGTTGCCTTTGCATTGGGTTGCTTTCAAGAGGCAGGTGAGGACTGCAGCACAGGTCTTACTTTGCGAATTTTGAAGGTTGTAAGATGTGAAGATGGAGAAAGCTGCGTTTTCACGTGTTAGGTATACTCCTTAGGTATTTTTAAAGAAGTATCTTTTCAGAAACACCTTTTCTATTTTTGATATTTTTCTTTTTTTAAAAAACCCGCAGTCAGAACTTTATTTATTGGCCTCACCACGTGGCCCGGTATTGAACCATTGCCCCCGTGCGGTGGAAGTGCAGAGTCCTAACCACTGGACTGCCAGGGGATTCCCAATTTTTTATAATTTTCTGGAATCTTCAAGTGTTAAACACTGAATCTGAGTTCTTATTTTAACATTTTAAAGAACAAATGAATAGCTAAATGACCACATGAGAAAGGAGCATGTGTACCAGTGTAGAAAGGAGTAGGAGACTGGGCTGCTGGTTGGATAAGTCACTGCATTACCTGGAGAAACCTTTTCTCCCTTAAGTTCTATTTACTCTAGAAATAGCAGAAACAAATTAAGGTACAAACCCTGAAGGATAAGCTTATGGGTAATGATCATGTTGTTGTCAATATCCTATAAGACTTAAGAGGACTGTGATTGAGTTAATTAAATTATACTTATAAAGCTCTTCTAAAGTTTTTCTGCATCTCTATAGAAGTCTTTAGAAATAATTATATTATGTTGACGATACTTAATATGTAGTTTCTTTTTTTTTTTTTTTTTTTTTTTTTTTTAATATTGAGTGGTAAAGGAAGGAAGTTCCTGCAAGCTCTGTGTAATGACATATTCCCAGGTGACAAACAACAGGACATTTTACTGATTCAGAGCCATAAGCCTTCACTATGCTCTTTGGTTTTCCCCTTCATTTGTTTATTTGTTTGTTCATTCAGCCACATTTATAAGTACTGAGGTTTGCCAAACATACTGGGTAGTGCATTGGGGATACAGGGGTGAGTGAGATACATGCTCCCTCTCCCCAGGCAGCAAGGTCTGGGGAATGAGGGGCTTCCTTCCTCAGAAATGCTTTTCACGTGGTAGTTTTTAGGCACAGTGAGTGTTAATCTCACCCATCCTTTTTCCACTTAGGCAGAAAACACTTAAATCATCATCAGCTCCAGCAAGGACTCATTCTATTTTTTAGCACCTAAAGCAGGCCTACCCTTGCTTTACTGAAGGCATAGGGACCTCTGTTCACATGAATAGTCTGTGTGATTGAGGCTCGGCTATTGCACCGTATTTTGTGGAGCGGTTGGTGGAAGGAATCTTTGGGAAGTGCATGCTTCTCTTACCCCAGAGAAGGAGCGTTCACAGCTCGTGCCACTGCCTCATTACAGCGCTGAGCCACTCATGTCTTCTGGGAGGCTTGCTCGTACAGAGCATAAAAATCCACCCAGCCCTGGTGAGTTTCTTTTCTCATGTCTGTCATCATCGTGGAGGCAGAGTGGCTGGTCACTGTTTTTTATAACAAGGTAAAGGCAATTGCTTTTTTTCTTTCTTTTTTTTTTTTTCCTGCTGTAAGGATAAAAATAGAAAATGTTTATATAGTGCCTTGTTTTGTGTCAGACACTGTTTTAAAAACCTGTTTAAACATTATTTCAGCTAGTCCTCCCAATTCCAGGAGGCAGGTACTGTTATTATTAGTCTTTTTACAGATGAGAAGACTGAGCACAGAGATGTTAGGTAACCTGCACAAAGTCATACATTTAGGAAGTGACAGAGCCTGGGTTTTAAGCTGCCAGTCAGGTTTTCCAGAACCCATAACTGAACACATATGTATGATTCATTAACAAAAATGAGTGTATTCCTTATGCTTGACATTGGGATTATAAAGATGGAAGAGAGGGGTTCAAAATTCTCTGTCCTTAAAAAATTTTTAAATTGTTAGAGAAAGGCCAATTTCAAAGTGACAGAACAACAGCAGTTGAATAGCACGGAAAAATAAAGAGGAGGATGGTCATGCCTGAAGAGGTTGGAAACATGAACAAGATGGAGTTGGGAGTTACGTC